GCCCCAAACCCCAAAGTTTACGAACCCTAAATCGCAAGGGTTTAGGGTTTAGGACTTACTTCAAGCTTTCGTTTTTCGGAAGCGAGATCATAGCCACTTCGCCGCATGCAGGGGCTCTAGGGTTTAGGGCATAGGGCTTACCCTAAGGGTCCAAGGACCCCAAAAATAGGGTTTTAGGGCCCAAGTACTATACTATTCATGGTATTTGGGACCTACCCTATTATTTGGGTCCTTGGACCCTTAGGGTTTCGGGTTTAGGTGATCTAGCCGTTGGTTGCTCTACGCATGCCTGTACGACCTACTGGGATTTTTATGGGTTATATAGGGGTTGTAATGGGGTTCTATAGGGATAATGGAAAGGAAAATGGAAACCACTGTATTCTAATAGGGTATATATTGGGGTTACAGTCCCCCTTTAGCAGATAGAATATGAGAATTGACCTATATACTTATACTACTCATAGGAATCCCATATATATCCCATATTATATCTGCTGAAGGGGGGCCATACACCCTACCCAAGAAAGAGAGACCCAAAGGATCCATGTACGGTATATACTTTGGGCCTAAGGGCCCAAAAAAGTTCCCCAAGTATATATCACATAGCTTCATGGACCCTTTGAGAGAGCGCTCTGCCCAGATTGCGGAATTAGGATTTCGGGCCAACCGTAAATGACAAACAAGCTTTCGACAAGAGCAGAGAAGCTACAAAGCTTTCACAGAAACCCACCCCAAACCCCTCGAACCCTAAACCCTAAGTCCTATGTAGTAGTTGCCCTGTTTATCCATTCCCCAATATGTCCCTATATTCTCCCTGTACAGTTTAACGAGACATTTACCACCATGTCCTTTCGAATTGAACTTTGACTTACCTCATCTGTGACAATGAGGCGGTATAGACTACCCAGAAAGCCCTATATGCCTTAATAAGGGAATATACCCTAAATGATACGATGATCCCTCATATGATTCATGGTATATATTTACTGATTAAGGGATAATATTGAGCTTTCTGGGTACCCTAGACCCATACCCTAAACCCTCACGCCTAAACAAGCTTATTATGCCAGTTCCACTCAGCCCTGGCGCGGAAAATTTGCGTCGAACCTCCCGTATCTGTACGGAGCCAGCCGTTACTACTTGTGTACGACCTTACCGTGCGTCACAGCCACAATCCCTCTGCATGATGGATGCGGTGGTTGACTAAGGTGCTTCTTCACACAGCGGTCAAAAGTAGAAAAGCAAACCGTCCAGTATAAAAATCAAAGCTCCGCACCCTAAACCCTCGGAGCTAGCATGGAACGCAAAAAGATCCTGCCATGGCTACAGACTGCCCCTGCGCGCAGCTACATGAGGTTCATGTTGGGAGTCTAGGGTTTGAAGAAGGCCTGTTTTTCAGACACTGAAATCCTAAAACCCTTCAACCCTAGGGTTCTCTATACCTTATTTGCAACTTCATGGCCTGGTATACTAGAAATACGGTAATCACCTACCCCTAGTACTAAACAACGCCCGCCCCCTCCCCACAACCCTATGACATTAAATGATCTTTCTAATGGCCCATAGTTCATACATGCTTAGATGTATGGAGAGAGATGTGTGCATATATATATATATCTATACAACTTTGTAAACATTAGGCGCACCAAACTTCAGCGGGTGGTGGCGGGTGATGTTTCATGTTGAGGGGGAATGGGAACCTTACACTTCTACATTCTCGACCTTCAGATTCAGCTGACACCGAGCCCTGAACTCAAAGCCCCAAAGCTTAAATTCAACCTTCAGTTTGCTTGGGTTAGGGCTTAGAGTTTAGGTTTAGAGGAAGCCCGTATTGAAATTTTTCTGCCTTCACCACTCCTTATCAAGATCAACATCACCGCTGCTGGTCCCGCAAGTCCCAAGCATCCGGAATTCGCTGCTCTGCAAAAAGGGATCCCAATGCTCCCGCCATCAAGGGTTCTAGTTCCAAATTCTTGGGTTGAACATCAAGGAATCAAGGCCCATGAAATTTGCGTCAGTCCTCCACCCAATAATGGGTACTACTGTAAGTTTATTAAGGGCTTATCAACTCCATCATTAAGGGCGATTACTGGAAGGGGAGACTGACCTAACCTGGAACTAGGTTTAGGGCTTGAACTCCGTTAACGCCTTACAAACACAATCGCAACTCTGACGCTAAACTGGCCTCAGAACCCGCCCGATTTATAATTGTTGGCTGTGGGATTATAAGGCCCAAAAACTGAAAAAAAATGAATGCCACTGAAGGACAACCTAACCCGGATGTAGGACCTGCTCGGGCCTTAGCTCACACCCAAGTGGTCTAGATTCCCAACCGCAAACTCAGCGTGAAAGCCCTAACAATGGGACCTCTACGGACTCTAGGGTTTAGGGTTTCTGTCTTCTGAAAGGAGAGCTACATGGGTTTACATGTCAGTTTGCAGTTGGGTAGATTCCCGGCCCTCCCAGTTTTGAGTTTGAGGTTCCCTGAAACAGCTACAAACCGTCAATCTAACAAGCGCCGACAAAAAAGGGTCCGAGTACCTATACGGCGTATACTTAGGGCCCAAATCTGTTCTTTAAGGCCTACTTATATACTAAAACCCACCACAATAGTTTCCATTTTCCTTATTTTCCCTGTATAACCCTAGATAAACCCGATGATAATGTAGTAGTTTCCGTTTTCTTTTCCATTATCCCTAGATAATCCCTGTATACTTGGCTTGCTTTGGGGAAGCAAAGCACTGGGGACTCATCCAAGGATCAGAAGTATCTGATCAGAAGCATCTGTATAGAGGACGCTTTCCCGGCAACAGTACGACTAATTCCTGGTGTGGAGGCCCTACTTTGTACTTTATAGATACTGAGGACGCTTGGGGCAGTTTGACCCTCTTGTGACGTCTCTTGAGGTGTTAGGGTTCGCCTGAAAAATGGTCTTTGTTCTAAATAACCGGTCTCAACCCTAAACCCTAAACCCTGAACCTCAATATTTTGCTTCGGTACATGGAAGGATGCAGATTGAATTCAGCCTACAACTGCACCCAAAGGGTCCAGGTACCTGTACTTCATATTTGGGCCAGGGGTAGTTTTCCCAAAAGGTCCAGATAGCTATATGGCATATACTTGGGCCTAAAAGCAAGTAAACGGGAGCCCCGTTGGGCCCCAAGAGTATATCATGTACCTACCCTAAACTCTAAACCCTATACTGTAATACCCATAGACCTACATGGACCCTTTGGGTCCTTGTATGATGCAAGGTGAGGCGAGAAACATCGGGATCCTCCCGGAGGAGCTCAGAAACTCTTGCTATGATCAACTACGTGGCACTTAGGACCCCTGCTAATAGGGTTTAGGGCTTAGGGTTGACTAAGGGTCAACTTTTAGGTACCTCTAATGGGAATATCAAGGGAATCCCAGAGGGTTAAGGGTCTAAGGTCCAAGCTAAGTGCCAAGGAGATCAAGAAGTCATGGTTGCACCTGGGGCAGCTGGCTGATAATTTACGATTCAGAGCTTTCGGGAGCCCGTATAGGGATGCAGGTATACATGCAATAACTACTTTGGGGCCTGAAGTCTGGACAGAGTACCTACATCGGGCCTATTATGCTATTTGATTGCGTAGGGATTGGTGTAGAAGATTACTTCGTCCCGGCTGGAGCGACCTTTTCCGGACTTTGCGTGTTGTTTCTACTTGTAGAAGTTGTAGTAAGCAACAGGAATCCTTATTGGGGGCACGGGAGTTTTAGAGCTTATGGGGGGGCATGGGGGGTTTATAGCTTCAGGGTTTAGGATTTAGGGCTTCGGGTTTAGGATCTAAGGGTGCTTTTGGACTGGTGGGGAACTTGGCAAGTTTAGCTTGGAGCGCAGAACCCCCAAAAGGTCCCAGTACCTATCTGGTATATACTTGGGGCCGAAATGGTTCCCATAGAGCCTATACTTGGAGGCCCATGGGATTTAGTGATTACGTATAACGGGGATTATAACCCTACCTATAATGTGGGTAACCCCTATAAGCCCAATTATAAGTAGGGTTATAAGGCCATTTATAAGTAGTTATGAAGTCCCATGAGCCTCCAAGTAGAAGAACTTACGGGCTGCTATGTAGGTACGGCGATTTTTTACGGAGCTTTCTACGGACATTCGCCATGGGTTGCTACCACGTCCGCCCGGGCGAACGACTCGAAATGTGCGCCCAAAGGATTCAAAGTATCTATATAACAGCTTTTGGTATAGCCCTACTTTGTATTCCCAACATTTCTTTTAGCTTCTTAATGTACATACTTCACATGCAAAGGGGTTCCCACATAACTACTTTGCGGTCCAAGTATCGACTATGCAGCTACAGGGACCCTTTGAAACTCTAAGCCGTACACCCCAAATACAGCTTCATGGACCCTTAGTAACTATAGTCCCCCAAAAACATATTCTATCTACTCAAGGGGGCCTATATACACATACCTCGAATCCCTAGCACTCTATAGACACTGAGGAGCCCTTCGTACAAGGAGTAAGACTCCAAGCAACGCAATGGGGATGATACCGGCTACTGTAGACAGCCCTAATTAGGTTTGAGAAATAATCCCCAGGCAGTTTGTTCCCTTATCCCCTACTTACCCCTGCTAAAATTCAGGATTCAGGGTTTAATTGGTGTTTTTTGGGGCAAAGCACTTGCACCATGGGTTTGGGCTTTGGGCAGCTGACCTGGTGGCCCTCCCCGAACATGAGCCCGAAAAAGAGCCCTATACCAAGACGACCGTCCTGCGAAACAAAGAAGCCACAGGGGCTTCCATGTTTACCTGAGGGAGTGCAAGTTTGTCGATGCGAATCAGAGGAGGTCATACTCAAAGGGTACTTGGGCCCCGAAGTACAGTACTCATATGGAAACTCCTTTTGGCCCCAAATCTCTCCTCTATATATATATGTATATATATATATGTAGCTACAGGGGCCCTTCGGGTAGATTCTAAGCCCTGCGCTAACCTCAGCTCGAAGAGGCGCTGCTCGATCACCGCGGTGTACCCGAAGAAGCACGAAGGACGGCGCTACCTGAGATTGCTTTTTTTGGGGGTAAGCCCTAAACCCTAAACCGGGGGTTGGGGGGGGCAAAGTTTTGACTTAACTTGGGGTTTGTGATGGTTGGGGTTCAGTCTGTCCAAGGGGAAAAATGTCAGACTGGGGAGTTGGGGAGGCGTTATGAGCGCCGGATTTCTCAAGAATCCCAAATTATGGACACTCCTTAAACCCTAAACCCTAAAGCCCCAAATTCTCATCTTGGTTAAGGCGTTTAGGGTCTAGACCTTGGTGCTGTAGGGCTTCCGGCACCTCTGCCTTGGGCGGCTGATATTCCAGGACCCTCCTTGTACCCTTTATTGAGGATATATGGTCCCCAATAGTAGGTACTTAGGCCCTAATAGAGGGTAGGAGGAGGGTCTAGGTTTTTAGTGTTACGAACATTCAAGGGTAGTTATAGGTGAAATAAAAAATCCTCTATCAAAGAGTTTAAGTTGGTTTGTAACCCTGGGTTTTGGGTCTCAAATACCCTTTGTCAAGGGCCATATTCCATGGTTTTTGGACCCAAACCCAAGGGTACAAAACCTAAGGGTACAAAGGACAACTCCCTGACTTGAACGTAGCTTCCAGCCAGGCTTTGCCTGCAACTCCATTAAACAAACCCTAAACGCCCAACCTTCCACTGCCTCCAAAGGAGGATCCAGTTGCACATGAGCACCATCCGCTGGCTAACCTAAAGGGTCCAAGTACCCAAATACTACTGCTTTAGGTCCCAAATGCTATAACCTGAGTGGCTTTTGAAACCTAAACCCCTAGTATTTGGGTGCTCGGACCCTCAGCGTTATATTATCAACCCCAAACTTGAACTTCACGTTGAACAAACGAAGGTGTTGAGCAGCGTAATACTCAGGGCCACAGGAACAGGAACAACTCTTCACAAGTCCATCCCAGGTTTCCCAGGAAAACCTTAGCAAGAAGGGTTCAGGGCTTAGGGCTTGGTGTTAGGTCCCCAGCAACCCCTTAATAATAGGGATACCCTTTTTGGCTAATGATCAGCTCTTATTTGGAGACCGCCATTAAAGGCAAAAATGGTGCTATGGGTACCTAGCATCATAGCGCAGGGCCAAACTAGGCTCTAGACACACAAGCCACCTCCTGCTCCTCTTTGAATATGGTTTAGGGTTTAGGGTTTGGGCAAAAACTGCTTCTTGAAACCCTAAACCCTAAACTCAGAACAGAAAGGCTACACCCAAAACAGGAAAAGTGCCTTGATGGCAAGATGCTCACATTGCCCAGTCCACACAGGTAGTCTGCCCGCCAAATTTCCATGACATCTTTGTGTGGGACACCGGGAACCCGCGGAGACCCAAGAAGTATAATGATGTATAGGAGACGGTTATGCGCGTCTACTCTGAAGTGTCCCCTCTTAATGAGCACCCTAAACCCTAAACGTGAGCACCCTAAGCCCTAAACTCTACACATGAGCAACCTAAAACCTACAGTTCCCCTAAAGTAGATAGAATATGGTGTATATGGGGATCTTATTATAGTATACCCAAAGCCGTATTCTATCTACTTAAGAGGGACTATAAACCCTAAACATGACCATCCTAAGCCTTAAACCCCATGAGTTGGGTACTGCCCCTCCTCAGTAACAGTTGGATAATAAGTATAACATGGTTATACAGAGCCCTTAATAGGACCCCTTATATAGACTGTTACTGGGTTGGGGCAGTACCCAACCTAAACCCTAAACCCCTAAACCCTAAACCCTATGAGCCCCAAAGGTACTGTTGAGCCGAGCTGCCCCCAAATGAAAAGACACTCTGCCGGCTCATCGACATCTCCTGGGCCTCAGCTTCGGGTTTAGGGCTCAGGCTTTAGGACTTAAGGTTTAGGATTCAGAATTTGGAATCTAGGGTTTAGGGTTTGGGCTTTAAGGTTTAGGGTCCAAGGTTTGGGCTCCTGTAAACCGACATCCTGCAACAAAGGCCCTAAACTCTGGAGTCTGGTACAGGTTTAGGGTACTTGGACCCCTAAACCCTAAACCCTAAATCCGGAACCCTAAACCCTAAACCCCTAAAACCGCAGCTCCCGCATCGGCAACCCTGTACTCTAAACCCTAAATAGTAGTTTCCATGTTCTTTTCTATTCTCCCTATGTGAGCTATAGTCTAAACTCCTAGTATCCCCCTTAATAAGCCGCCCTAAAATACTCCCCTATATAATCCCCTAGATAACCTCCATCTAAGGAGTTTAGACTATAGCTCATACATTCCTGATGTATCCCTATACATCTTCCCTACATAACTCGCATAACCCCTGTATATACTCGCTATAAACCCTAAGCATGCCAAGAGCCCTTTTGGCCTAGAATGTCTGCTCTCGAAAGATCTGCGCTACTGAGGGTTTAGGGTTTAGGGGATTGAGGGTTTAGGGGGTTTAGGCTTTAAGGTTTAGGGTTTAGTAGGGAATGGGGGAATATCTTACATAGGAAATATGTAGGGAGTGTATTCCTTTATTCCCTGCTAACCACCAACGAGGTAAACAACCCCTAAATCCTGATCCGCATCTTGTCTCCGCAGAAGGGTGTTTGGAGGCTTCCGCCCTCTGTGCGCTGACTTCTCAAAACTAGCAAGAGGGCTTCAGTACCCCCACCCGAAGCACCAAAAAACAGCAGGACAACAGAACTATCAGATGACTGCACTAGACTCCTGATTCTTAGGCTTAACTAGTCCAGGGTTTAGGGTTCAGAGCCTTGATTAAAGAAGACTTTGCAAGATTCAGCAGCAGCTGGCAGAGACGTTCTTGGGGTTTCGGGCTTAACTACCTGGACCCTTGTACCTTGCCCCAGCTGTATGGATAGTAGCGTTTATATACCAAATTAAGTACCCTACGAAAAGGGATAGTGTTTGAGGGTCTAAGCAGTAGACCGCCCAAAAGGAGCCCCAAACCCTAATACCCAGGATCTAGGGAGCGCTTAGGTTTTAGGTCCAACTCTGCGGGGCAAAGTTGCAAAAACAAAAAAAAGCATGGTGGCAACAGCAGACGAGCAAAAAATGTAGATTGACCCTTTCTCCCTGACCTTGCAATACGTCGTTACTACACACGGTCAAGGGTTCATGGGGTTTGTCAAAGTATGTGGATTTACGTACTACAGCGGCCTAAATAATTACCAATATAATTTTGAGGTCCATTAGAGGTACCATAGACTATAACTATACAAGGAATATGGAACCGTGATATTGGTAATTATTCACGCCCCCGCAATAGAACCCTCAGGTTCGGGTTCTTGGACCTTTCGGGAGTTGCAAGCCCTGAAGCCTAAATAAACAGGTATGCAAACCCTAAACACTATAACCCCTATATAACCCCTATGTAGCCCTATATGACCTTATACCGCCTACATGAGCCTATAACCCCTTTTTAACCCTTTAGAACCCATGAAAACCACAAGCCAACCCTTAGACATCTCTGTAAAAAGCGGGCTAAACTGCGATGCAGCTTCAGGGTTTCGAGCTTTGGGTTCTTACACCCTAAACCCTAAACCTTACACCTTAGACCCAAACTCTGGTGTATATTAGAAGGTTTAGGGGGAGGGTTTTGGGTAGGTATATAGGATATACTTAGCGACCAAAGGGTTACCAATATGGCTACTTCAAAGCCCATGTATATGCTACATTTCGCTGCCTGGACCTTTTGGAACACAATGATGCAATGATTGCGGTATTGGGTTGACGGTTTGGTTCGAGACCCGACCTACCCTATACGGGAAAGTATGATATCTATGTGACTATGACTAAGGTCATACAGAACTCTCAATATCAACAGTGCCCCTTCGCTACTATACCGCGCACTGCATCATCAATCAATACCGTCAATACCCATACTTTCTTACTTCTGGAGGCTCATGAGAGCTTAGAGATGTGATTAAAGGGACTGCATTCGGGTTGAACATACGGTAAGAAAGCGCACCCGAAACCACAAACCATAAACCCTGAGCTCCACGGTCGAACTCTTAACCCCAAACCTTGAATTCTTTACCCTCAACCCTAAACCCTGAACCCTAAACTCCAAACCCTACCCGAAACCCTACACACTAAACCCTCAACCCTAAGGAAGACCATTAAGCTGAAGGCCTGCCAGTGGTGGTGGAGGTTATCCAAACCTCGCTTGGGCAACACGTGGGGGTTTCCCGAAAGTAGGGCTAGCTTTGAAGGGATTCCTGGGGATATGTAGGGTTTAGGGTTTAGGGATGAAAGTTGAGGGACCTTATATTCATGACTTCATGAAGATTGTATCTTTTTGGGGTCTACATTGGAGCCGCCCTAAATTACGGAAACTAGGATATATCCCCGTAATGGCACCTATTCTCTGTGTACTCGCATAGTATAGTGGGGAAGATCTTTGTTGTTGGGGGGCGGGGTGATGAGGAGGAGGAGGGGGATTACCCAGATTACAAGACTTCCAGCACGAAGTGAAGCAAGGCAACTGTGAGGTTTAGGGTTTAAGGTTTGTGGTTTAAGGTTTAGTGTTTAGGGTCCAAGGTTAGGGGTTTAAGGTTTAAGGTTCATAGGGTTTGAGGTTAAGGGTTTAAGGTTTAGGGTTTAAGGGTTTAAGGCGTCTACCTGCGCGGGGCTGAGTATCCATGCGCCGATGGCGCCACCCCACTTCCAGGGATTTGTGGGTGGCGGCACATCCCGCGCCCTGTTGCCCAAGAAGCCATCGAAGCTGGCTTTCTTCAAAATCCCCACCCACTGTGAGACATCACAGGCTACCACCCAAAGTATTTCCTGTTAAGGTTTAGGGCTACGCCCTCAATTCCCACCTCCAAAAGATGGTCTTCCTGGTTTTGCTCTCAAGTACACATCATGGTGGGCCCGCGCAAGCGGGCCTCCAGGAGCCTCCATATGAGGGCAGAGCCTCAGGGCCCTCCAGGGCCCTCCAGGGGCGTGCAGGGATTTAGGGGCCCGAAATGTGGAGGCGACGTTGCGAGGCTCTGGGATTTAGGTTATTCCCATCCAGTACATTGTAGAGATTTTGGCCTACTGGGGTGGCACCTCCGGATGTACGGGAGGAGTTCGGAGGGGCTCTATACGTCCATTCCCATAGACTCCTCCCATTGTCTTACCCAGTATGGGTGTAAAGGCTGACGTGTTCCTTCGGTGTCTGACCACCCTAGTACTGGGTGGAAACGGCCTAAGCAGGCCGGGTGGGAATTTAGGGTTTAGGGTTCAAGGTTTAAGGTTTAAGATTAAGTGTTTAGGGCTTAATGTTAGGGGTTTAGGGTTTAAGGTTTAAGGTCTAGGGTTTGAGGTT